AAGCAGAATGAGCTACACTCGCCAAAAAGTCTGAGACGATTATTTGACCAAAATGAAAATACACAGACAACAAGATGCGATTATGAAGATTTCTAATTGAAATCCGAGAGAAAATGAAGACAATTGGGGACGCCGGGGGGAGGGCGAAATGAAATTTCATTAAAAACGTTTGCACAAATAAAATAAATGCTACAACGGGCAAAAAAAAACGAGTAAGGGGCAAAAAAAGAAGAGTAGAGAGGGAAACAAAAAGCAAAGGCACGGGCAAAAAGAAACTGAAACGAGGTCAAGCGAGGTCAACTCATTTCATGTACCCAACCCGAACTACTTCATACTCTACTAAATATTTGTATGACGACGACGAGGCGGAGATTCATTTGTGTGAGAGTGTGTGTGTGCGTATCTGTGTTAGGGCCTGGCTGTGTTGGTGAATGGGCATTGGAAGTGCAGTTCAGCTTTGGAACGCCAAGTTTGCCATGCATACTTTGGGTTAAGAGGGGGCTGCAAGGGGTCAAAGGGGCGTGGGGCGTGGAGCATGGGGCGGCGGGCAGGGGGTGTGGCCCGGGCATAAACTAAATCAAACAAAAGGCAAAAGCTGAGTAAAAATGTGGAGCGACGATGGGAGCACTTCAATTGAGTTTTACATAGATTTGTCGCTGTTGTGTGGCTTTTGGAGCACTGATACTCTTCAACAAAGTTTCAAAAATATTCATTAGAAATACAAACTACTTGTCGCGAATTTAAGCAAACTATTTTGAAATTGGAATATTTAAATGTATTATTATAAAATAATATATAAAATACTTTCAATTAACAGATTGCTTTGCATTTTATATCATGGATAAAAAAGTCATATTTTCATTTGTACTACTCTAAAAATAAACTCCAAGGAGTTTTCCGATTTATGACTTCTAATTTAAAGTGTGGACTTCTCTTCGCCTTAAAAATACTTTTTTATATATTTACAAATATTTTAGTAATTAATTTTACTACATTTTTTTATGCCTCCATATTGTTATTATTGCTAGAATGACCAGTAAATTATTATTTAAAATAAGACAATTTTAACTTGTTTTAATATGTCTAATTTTATAGATTTTTTCTTGACTTCTTTACTGATTTCAATAAATGAATACTTAAGTGTATTAGCAGTATCGGTTTTCCCCCAATTTTCCGCTGGACTGTTGCTGCTTGGTGTTGCTTTACTTTTGTTGTTGATTTGATTTCCAACTATTTCTTTTTTTGAGGGCACAGCGATGGCGACAAAATGGACAACAACAAGAGCAACAGCAACAGCAACAGCAAACAGCAAAAGCAACAGAAACTCGTTCGCTTGTGTTGCTGATGTTGATGTTGCTGCGGTGTCAGGGCAGCAGCAACATCGGAGGCAGCAGCAACATCAGAGGCCGCAGCAGCAGCAATCGCAGCAGTCATGACTTGGCAAATGCGCTCGCCAACATTATCGTCTTGACCATCTCGTGAACTTCATTTGCAAGCGTTGAACGAGGGGGGAGGGGGGCTAAGATGGGAAAGGTGGGCGGCACAAAGAGGGGGGGTCTAAGGTGGGCAAACATATTCACAGCACAGCACAGCAAGTGTTGCCAACTTTATGGCATTTACAAACACAATTACATTAGCTTCTTTGCGGACTTCTCTTTACTTCTTCTTCTTCTTCGCCGCTCGGCTTTAGCTTTGCCGTTAGCTTTTCAGCAAAGAAGCAGCTGGAAGTTGTTTGGCGATGATGAGTTAACTGTTGACCAAGTGCGCAACTAATTTGCATTCGTTGCCTGGCAGATCTTGGCAAACGCAAATCCGCGATCTGTGTGCAGATTTAAGCTGTGTAAATATATCAATCGAATGGCTGTTAACGTTGGAGGTATGTGAGTAATTAAGAGCTGCAATTGATTTACAGGTAAATAAATCGAAGGAATGTCAATAAAAAGCAGGAAATCTATTACTAAAACTCCCAAATAAAAAGTTATTTATTACATTACTCCATTTCAATTCTTTTATTGGTTAAAATAACGCTTTTATTAACAACATTTAAAAGCCATTTTCGTTAACTGCATTTAAAGTGTAGTTAAGGCAACGTTAATGGTAGTTTAAGCCAACCTAAATGGATTAGCGACAATGTTTATTTTAAATCCTTTATGCGTTTATTTTTATCTCCTATATGGGCTAGAGTTTTATTGACTTAATAAATACAAAATGTTCGGAAATTCAGTCATTAAAATTAATTAATACGTACTTTGTGAATAATCATTCCATGGGAACAAATGTGATTTAAACTACAGTTAATGAGTAACAGGAACTTATTTCTAATTCTTAAAACTATTACTTTATTTTTTACTGGAGTTGCTTAGAAACAAATGGTTAACAGTTTATTGTGTTTATGAAGCATTCCTTTTAATAATTAATTGTTAAAATGTTTTTTATTTCTGTGTTTATTTTCTAACTATTTACAAGTTCTTATATATTTGTTGTCAAAATATGTATTTATTGGTATATTTCAGATATGGTCGAGATAAATTCCTAGACATGCTTAACCTATTACAGAACAATGGTTTCTTTGTCTAGCTTATAACTTCCCTTAAATAAAATTGTGTAAGTTGTATGGTCTCAACTGGCTTAACTCTCCCCAACGACAGCTGATTTTTCGAGGACCTGCGAGCTCCATTCGGCATCTGAACAATTATTGACACGTGCTCGAGCCTCCACGGCGAACAAAACGAATGTCAAGAAGGGAGACAGGCTGGTAGGGGAATCCTGGAGATCAGACTGAAGAAAGGAGACCGAGGGGGAATCCCCTTTCTGCCCAGATGCATTTCCGGGCACTTCAGCTGTTGATTCTGGCCTCCGTCGTACGCCTGCTGTTTTGTTTTGTCGATATTATCTGCAATTAAATACTCAATGCACAATGCATAGAGCCATTGGGACAGGACAAAACAAGTAAAAATTTCAATAACTAAAAACGCACATGTCCTCGACAGGACGAAAAAAAAAAAAGAAGAAGGTAAGAAGGATGATGATGAGCCAGGCAGATGTTTAATGAAATTTTGTGGAGCGCTGCTGCTGTCCTGCTGCGTCTCCTGCCTACACACACTCCACACTCTACACTCCACACTCGATTCCCGATCCTCGATCCTCCAGGGGTTGGGATCCTGCATATGCCCCGACATTATCCCCTAAATGCGGCCTGTCAATCGCGAGGGGAAAAGGAGATCGGAGAGCGGGAAGAGAGAGTGAAGCTTCCTGCGCAGTTTGCGGCTCATCAGCGTCACCAGTTTAAGGAGATCTCGTTGTCCTGTTATCATACAACCCCTGAAACAGGACACAAAAGGTCGCGCATGCGCACCATCTCTCTCTCTCTCTATCTCCTTCTCTGCTTATCTCTCTCCCACTCGCGGCACTAATTGGTTGCTCAGACACGCGTTATAGGTTTTTGAGTAGGCAACTAAAACATGAAAGGTGAATATCAAAATACTACACTGGAAAAGTCTAGCTGAAGACAAAAATAGTTCGCAGTTAAAAATAATTTTATTTATTTTAAATATATTATTTTAAATATATTAAAAACTCAACCAAATCTACACTTTATTCTCATATCAGAAACAAAGGATCATACCATAAGACTGCACTTTTTAATTACAAAAATTGTAATAAATATTTGATCAATTTTAAACTTTCATTTGCAATCTTACGAATATTGCACTATTGTATTTTTGTATAAAAATATTTTAAGCTAAAATTAATAAGATCATTTTAAGATTCCACGCAAGACATTCTCGGTCAATTTGTTCTCCGTGTAATCATCGATCTCCCAACTAGTTTTCATTCCTTCGGCCGACCTACGCAACAAAGAAACCTTCTCAGTCCCATTTTCTGCCCCTTAACACATTTTCCCATTCTTCGTTTGTTGATTTTCCCCGGTGATCCCAATGAAAAGGTGCCACAATAGAGGCACAGCGCGAAGAAAGCAATAGAATGGCATTTCTTTCATGAATGGATCGCATTTTCTTTTCTTTCCTTTCCTTCCTCTGTTCTGTTCTTCTTTTCCGAGAATGTTGGAAAACTTTGGTCGATCGTCGATTGTCGTGTGTAAACAGCGTGCAAAGCGGTCATAAAAATGTGGCCAGCGGCACTCGAGGTCACATGATTAGTGTCACATTAGTTGAACGACTCGTGAGAGGGGGGTAAAGGTAATGGTCAGCGGGAGGGGTGATTTAAGCAGTCGGCTTTATATCAAAAGCGAGAAGAGGGAGATCCCATTGAGAGGTTTTTACATACTTCAGTTTTGAAATATATTCCACCTCTTATTGCATAAAAATGTAAGCAGTAATGTATGAATGCAATAAGGCGAAACGGAATTACCCTAATTTATGTAATGTGATGGAAAGCATTATTATTATTATTTTGAAATGTTTTTTATGTGCCCTGCCACTATTTTTATTTAAATATTGATAAATATTATTTTAAATACATTAATAAGTCCACTTACCATTTAATTTAAATTTGTTTGTATTGGCTTATTAATAATAATTGTAATGGTTAATTTAATATTAATCTTTGTGACATAATATTATATAATATGTTCCGTACATTAACATATTTAAATATAATTTGTCACCTAATTTATTTACTAGCTTATTATTTATTTCTTATTTACATTATTCGTATAAATTAACAAATGGCTAAATGTCTTGATAACTTCACACTCTCAAGTTAGATTAACACGCAAGATTATTTATGTTTTGTTTAGTCATTCCAATTGGCTTTTAGAAGTTGCTTATCGTTTTCTTTTTGTAATTGGCCAACTTGATCACTGAATCAATAAGCCCGCCTCTCCTTTCCCTTATCGTCATAAATGTATGTCAATTATTGTTAAAATACCTCATAAAAGCTGCTGAATATTTTGCCTGGTTAAGTCCAAAGCCCTTAATGCGGTTTCAGTTGTTATTGTCGTTGTTTTCTTTTTTGTTTTCTTTTTTGCCTGATCCCAGGAAGGAAGCAGCCATGACAGATGTTAAACCGCATCGGACAGGAACCAGGATCCTGGGCAGTAGTAGGACCTCATTGGCAGCTTGTCGAGTGCGGTACTCCGCATTTGAGTTTAACCCTTCCGGAGCGGAAACATGGGCACAGAACTCAAACCCCCCGAAAACAAATAAAAACAAAAGGGGTGACAAAACCCATATAATACGACCTCGATTCGAAAGTGATCGCCAGCTTTCCCAGCGAGCTAATCAATCGAACGAATGTCTTCCGAATCAAACCACAAATAAATTGAGAACAACGGCGCTGAAGAAGCGGAAAAAAGAAAGGCCACCGAAAAAAACAAGTTAGAAATTTTTTTTGTTTTCCATTTATTTCTCCTCTTTTTTTTTTTGTTTTTTGCTTTTCAGTTGCAACGACGAAGACGACGACGCATCATTAAAATATTTTCCACTCTTCGGTTTGTTGTTTGGTGTTAAATCAAAAACCACTTGAACGAAATAAAATCTTTCTCACAGTCCGCGGTCGCACAATGGCCAAATGGTATGGGTATTTGTATTCCAGGGAGTGGGGAGGGGGGAGGGGGGACTACAAACAAATTATGAGAACGTTCGGGATCAAGACGAAGAATGTTTTCTTTTTCTCGTTTCTTCGGTGGGTTCAGTTCAGTTCTCTGGGCTCTTTTGTTGTCCGACGATGTCGTTGTTGGTAAATTGATGACAACAACATCAGAAATGCTGAAGCGTGCGCTTCAAAAATGTATCTGCATAGTCGCCCGGAGATACAAAAGCAAGCCCCGAGATACATTTCGGTGAGCTGACCATTTTGCGTATCCGTGACGATTTCTCGTTTACCTGTGCGACACAGACCCAAAAAGCAGACAATAAATCAATAATCAAGCCGCCGAGAGAGAGCAGTCGAATGGGTAGATGGGTAGATGTTCAGATGGATGGATGGATGGGTGGACGGATTGGTTGGAATCATTTCGGATAGAGAGGCGAGTCTGGGGCCTTATCATCATTATTCAAAGCGAGCCACCAACGCCGCCGACACCGCCACCGCCGACACATGGAAATGGGAATAGAAAAATAATAATAATAACGAGAACAACAAACAGAGACCGAGGGAAAACAAAACACAGAACCAAACCGAACAAAACGAGTTCCTAGAGTTTCTAAAACCCATAAAACGACGACGAGTTTTGATTTGATTTTCGAGATCCAATCGACTGGCATAGAACACATGTACGGGTATGTAAAAAATACATTTCAATTCACACTCGTCCAACGGACGACCGGGTTCCATTAAAAAAACCCCCCAGACGAATCATCCAAAAATGCGTGGATGCTGTGGGAGAGAGTCGGAAAGAACATATATTCTGGACAGAGACCTCGACGGAGGCAACAACTCGTCATCGGTTATATCAGGTTCGGGGTTTCGGGTTCCACAGGGAGAGAAAATTTCGGATCCATTTTTGAGATCATTTTGTATTTTTAAAATAAGATTCCATGATATGGAACCTTCTAAACTTAAATAAGTTTAACTTGGCCTTCAGCTAAATTTATATATGTCATAATTTTCCAACAAAAAGGTTTTTATTGACAACTTTAAAAATATTTATAATTTTTAAGTTACAAAACTTTTTCTGTAATTAGCTAAATAAAATATTGAAAATGAAATTAAATTCTTTAATTAGTCTCATTTGTATTTCCTAATTATTAACATTAAGATTTTCTTGGTTATAGATCAAAAGATAGAAATTTGGTCAAAATAAATTATATTATTACAATTCAAATCTTTTTTCATTACACTTTTCTCGCAGTGCAGGAAGAAAGAGGAGTGAGACAGCGGTCAGTGGCAGCCCACGCCCGCGTTATGATTTTGTGGCCATTTTATAACTAACAACATTCCAGCGGCGCCGACAACTGAGCCAGCGTCCCCAGTTGAAGTCCCCATCCGAAAATCCCATCCCAGTTTTCAGACCCTGTCCACGGGACCACACACATCGATATCGATGGTGATGGTGATGGTTTAGCCGATGATGATGACCGCTCTTTGCCGCAGGGAGGAGTTGGGGCGAAGTGCACCGGGAACGATGTCTGGTGACAGAAGCGGCAACGGGAGCAGAATCGAAAGTTCGAGGAGGAGGATGTCCAGGACCAGAGGACCGATCGAAACCTGTTGGGGTGATACCAAAGGACGGAAGCCCATTCCCTTTCCCCCTAACTCATAATTTTTTATACCCCTGCAGAAGGTTTTACATTTTTTATTAATCAGAAAAGGAATCCTCTGTAGTTTTTCATTTTTAGACATATGTGAAGGTATTGTACATTCAAACACTAATTAAAAAGATTGATATATGATAAGAAAAAATTAGAATTTGCTTTTAAAATATAGAAGGAAAATATCAGTTAATTACTAAGTTTAAATTATTAATAATTATATTTAAAAAAAAAATATCCATTTTTGGAAAGGGTATCTAAAGCTTTGTCGTCCCAAGACAACCCTGTTTTTAATACACAAACCATAAAACGAAAATGAATATTTCGAAGAGTCATAAAACGTCTTATAATTAGGCGAATTATTGCGAAAAATGTATTTATATTACGTTGTGAAATGACTGAGATAAAGATGGCCTGATAAGCCGTGGCGGGTAAGACCGAAAGATAAACCTAAGGGATTGGATCGTTCGTTTTATACATAATTTAGGAGCTTATCAAAATTGGATTTTTATCGCCGGTGCGAGATAAAGTTTCATGTTAGCGCGAGGAGTATTTGCAAATTGGTCTTTGCTTCGATGGGTGGGGCGTAGTATCTACGTATCTGAGCAGAACATTTCCTCGAACCGCTAGAAGATACATATCTGTCTACAGATAGTCAGCGCCCCACATTCCACACGTGTCCCCTCCGCTTATCACTGCTGCACTAGATACAATTTGTATCTGTATCTGCGGTCGACTTTGCTTTTGCTATATGGCCTGTTCCCAATTGTCTGCTGGTCCGCCAGCGGCTCACATGTTTTGTATAATTATCGTGGTTAATGTCTCCGCAATGGCTGGCTGATAAAAAACTTTTATCAGTTTCGGTTTTCTTGTGCCTCACACCTTTGTGCGAGCTGTGTGCTGTTTGCCTTTTAATTAAGTTGAACAAAAAATATTGTCAACGCATTCTTTAACTTAGCAACAATTCCAGGCAGCCTGACCTTGAGCCGAGTAACGGCAGCAAAACGCGATCAGTCCAAAAGATACAGTCTATCTGCGAATCAACTTTCAACGCAGCTCAGACGGAAAATGAAAGTCGGAATATTTTGCAAAACACAAAATTTTTGTTATAATGGCCTCAAACTGCAGTGCGGCTCAAACAAAGTTATTACCGGCTATGGCCTAAGCTTTGTTTGCCTTTCTGGCTCATGGCGAAAAACCCACATGACCAGATCGGCCCCAGATTTGCCCCAGCATCTGTTTTTTAGCCTCAGCATTAGCCCCCAACCACATGGCCAAATTGCAGACTGGCGGGCCAGGAGTAGTTGCCCAATCTCGGCTAAGATGCTGCATAATTAGCTATAATTTGTGAGCCAGCGAAGTGAAAGTCCAGGCTGAACCCCAGTTGGGATCATCTATCGGCCGGCTTCATCTCCATTGCGAACTCATCTGCCATAGTTGGATGTCAAAGGAGCAATAGCGAATTGCTGGACATGCAGATGAGACATTTAGTGGGGTCATAACTGGATAGGAAAATATTTCCTGATTTGTATTTGCAAGTTGACCAAACCAAATTGGTGGGGCGACATTTAAGACGACATGTTCACATATTTGTTTTTGGATATAAACTGCATTTTTAAGGCACAATCAAAAAAAATATGGTTAAAAAATAAATTAATAAAAATTCCACTTATTAAATAATTTGACTCAATAAATTAAAAGCTTTATAAATAATAATTAATTACATAATTCAATAATAAGTATTTTTGCTTTTATCAAGTGTTATCTATTTTTTGTAGAGATATATAATAAATTTAATAAATAAAATAAATTTAACTATTATTTTCTATGACACAGATAAGCTATGTGAAGTTTTATTGAATTTAAATAATAATAAAATATTTATAAAGTACTACAAATCTGGTTTATCATTTATAGAATTTAAGTTATTATTTGTGGACAAAGATATTAGGAGTTTACCTGTTTAATTTTCTACACCCTTATTGCTGGTTATATGTTTTTTATTTGTTTGGTGAAATAAGATTAAAATATGCTCCAATGTAGTTTTCCTCAACCATAAAAAATTAATATTATACTTTCCTGATATATTACAAATCTTATTTATCAATTTTTAATTCTAGAAAGTTAGTGTTGGTAGACATAAATATTTTGATTGTACTTTGCTAATTTTCTTTACTAATAAAATGTGTTTATTATTCGTTAAGTGAAAAAAGGTAACAATACTTCAATGTCCCAATGTAATTTTCCTCGGCAATAAAAAAGTGATTTTATATGACCCGTAGAGCGAGAGAAGTGAGTGATAAACAATGTAAAGCTCAGATTTTATTGGACTCTTCCAGACCTTTCCCCCGGATAGCAAGTCATCGACTGGGTCCGTCATCAAAAGTCGCATCATTATGATCATTGTCATTGTGCTGATCATTAGAGTGACCCAGAAGAATGCATTTGCATGTGGCCGGGCATCAACAGCTCCATTTCCATTTCCATTTTCACAGTCACATCCACATCCATTTTCAGCTCGTGATCGCGGTGCGTCTTTTGCCTTTGTGTGTCAGTTGCATTTACAGCTACGACAAAAAAGCATTTCAGAGTTTTTCATCTCTATTTTATGATCCCAGCTAACGGTTTTTGGGGCATTTCCCGATGATGAAAACTCTTTCTTCGTCTGTTTCTGTTTTCTGTATTTCTTTTTTTTTTTTTAGAGAGGCCTAGCAGAGAAGTGACTCTGTTTTAAGTACAACAATAAATCGAGACTTGAAGAGCTGAGGAATCGGGGGGGGAACCACCCACGTAACCGTCGAAGACAACTTCATAATTCACTCAGAGAAGTATTTTCTTTTATTTTTGTGTTTTTTTTTCCAGCCTAGTACCCCAGCTTCAATCTCAATCTCAGCCTACGGATGAATCCCCAAGTACATAAGTAGGTGGCGGGCTATGCTATCCACGAGATACTTCGTGCGTATAGGAATTGTGCTCAATTTCCACAACCACACACACTGCGACACTCGATGGGTCTTATCAACACAGAAGCATCATCTTGCACAGCATGCTTTTATCTCTCTCTCAGTTTGAGTCGTTTGAGAACAGGCGTTCAGAAATCGCCAGCAGCTCACTCCACTCACAGAAATCGGGGGGTACGAATTGGATTGGAGGCGGTTCGTCTATATATGTATATATATTAGCTGGAAACGCAACGGCTCTCGGGTTCTCTCGTTACTCGGTACTGGGTTCTCACTTCTGGGTTCTCACTTCAGGGTTCTCAGTTCTGGATTTTCAGTTCTGGATTCTCATGGGTAAATGGGTGTAGGCTCTTTCTCTCCACTTGCCAGTATTGCCAAATATACTGAGGAGCACGGGACGAAATGTGCGAAAACTGGAAATGGAGGAGCTAAGCTAAGCTGTGGAATACAAAAGCCACAGGGAAACCCAAACTCACACACACACTCAGACACACACACATACACTCTTTAGCCAAAAGGAAGTCCAGGAATGAGGCTGTGATTCAGGGGAAGCCGGAAGGAGGGGGGCAATGTGCTCAGAGACAAGCGCAAATGAATTGAAATGAGGCGAGATGCAGTCGCAGAAACAGCAGCTAAGGCAGAAGCTCATACAGGGAGGACTCCTTGGACAAATCGTGGAAAATAAGGGAGACTCAATGGGAATCAATTTCGTGGAAATCGTCTTACATATATGACTGTTTATAATAACCAGGCACAGTTTAGCTTTAAACTTTGGTTTTATCCGACCTTTAAAATATTTGTTTTAAATTAATAATTAAAAGGCCTTTGCATTTATAATTATTATCCCATTCTTTAAACAACATTAAAAACGATATATCCATTTCATTATGTAACTGTCTTCCTATAACGTTACCTTAATCCTCTTATAAATTAAAAAAAAAAATTCTTGCAATATTGTTTAATATATTTCAGAAAACTTTAATGGATAAAACTTTTTGGTTATGAAATTTTAAGAAAATTAATTTTATTGTAGTTGTTTGATACCTGATTTATTTTCCTAAAGCAACTCTTCCAATTTATTTATTTTGTCAACTAATTTGTACCCCTATTTCAAAGTTGTGAATATGGTCTTACAAAAAAGAATGACTTTCCATTATAGTAATAGTGTATTTAAATAAAAAGCTAATTTTAGCTCCTTGTTAATCCATATTATTCATTTTTTTAGAGTTCTTCCTTTGGAACGATGCACCCTGATGAGTGTCCACTGTATATAAATCCACAGACGGAACCTCGGGCCTCGGTCGCAGTGTCGTCTCCGTCCCCATATCTGTTTCTCTGTTGCTGTTTCGGTGCTCGGTTTTTAGTCTCGGCCACTTGGCAGCTGTGTGCGGCAACTGAGTTTGGCTGGGTTGAGTGTGAGCAGCTTAAAAAGCAGCGGCTGCCACTCCAGCCCCTCCCCAAATGGCCCCTTTCCCCGGTTTTCACCCCTCGATTCTCGAGAAGCGGAGCTTCTAATGCATTGGGGCTGGCGTAATAAGCGCAGTTTTTGTTTGAAAATAAGAATCACGACAAACAGAGGCGGGGAGACCGGGAAAATGTGGGGTCTTGAAGATTGCACTCGTGGAATACATATATGACTATATGCTTGTGTCTGTATATCTGATGGAATCATTCAAATTTGTTGAGTTTTCTTTGAGAGCAAAGTTTTCGCTGCAAGTCAGTGACAATAAAGCCATCCCCAAACTCGCTAAAAACGAAGTTTTGGAGGGGTTTTCGGGGGCTGCTACTTTATCGTGAAAGCCCAAAGTATGCACTTAACACAGTTTCATCAACTCTGCTTCCCAGCATCTCTGTCGTTCCTTCGCCGGCTGAGAATATCGCTCATTTTCAATAAAAATAGCTTAAAATTGTAACAGGCGAACAGCAGGGAAAAAAGTGAGAACTTTGTAAAGAACAGGGAGGAGCGAAGAGACAAGTGCCAAATGATGACGCTTGGAAATGGCCTCGCTCTCTTCCCGGTTTAGGTTTTAGTTTTAGTTTGGGGGGAAGTGCAACGGCGACTTGAAAGTTTTTTGTGT